AGTGTGGAGTTTTGAGCGCTCGCTTACATTTCACTTCTGGGTATTGGGTAGTGTAGTGTGATGGACTCCTTCCTTCATTTTATTTATTTATATTATTCCCTGAATTAAGCCACTGTCGCTGCTTGCGCTGTGTTTGCCTTGTCGTAGAGGATGAATGAAACCTCGCTGGATATAAATACGCCACAGATGTTCAGAGTAAATAAAGTTGAAAATAACTGGACGTGACAGAACCAGTTGGCATGTTTATGGGCGCTGGCATATCTCAGGCTCCATCTCTCCTGCTTTATCACGTCGCTTGCCCAATCTCACAGTCTCTCGCTCCTAACCCCGGATTACCGCTCGCGAGAGGGATCACAACACCCAATCACAGACCGCGGGAGGGATTAAGAGTGGGAGAGACAATCACTCACGAAGGATTCTTAGAAATATTCATAAAGAACAGTCAGGGAAAATTCAGTGTTGGAGAGACAGCGGGCAGAGGGAGGGTTGCCAAACGGCTGCGACAGAGAGAGAGAGTCCACTTATGCAAGAGAGGCATCTAAAAGAATCCAGTCAGACTGTGTTGTGTTTATACGGCTCGCTCCGTTGATGTGGTGAAGAGTTATAATTCTGAAGAACAGCGGAGCGTTTCGTCTTCACCATGCACATCCTCCAATCCCACTGCGTTATCAGGTGAGACTCTTCTACCTGTATCGCTCCACAAGCTATGCTGCTCTCGTAACGTGTTAACAAGGTTCCCACGGTCATGGAAAAGGAATTTTAGAAAGTTGTGATATCTAGATCTGGAAAAATGATGGAAATGAAGTATATCTTATTTAAAAACATTTCTATTTTTAATACTTTTTTCGAGTTTTGCTAAGATCTAAAATGTTTCATCAACAAGTGCAATCTCAATAAATGCATTCTAAATCCTATTAGCTATACTGATTATACTGTTATTATTAGTATTACGACTAGTAATAATAGTATAATTTTATTACTATATAGTATATAATATGAATATAAGTTATATTGGTAATATTATCAAAACTGGTTATACTATTAGTAGTATTAGTTGTAGTAATATATTATTAGTATTATTTTTAATTTCATTATTATTACCGGTATTATAGACTAGTAGTATTTTAGTACTACTAATATTACAGTATGAGTGACTGGAAAATTTGTGAAAAACCCATGATAGTTCATTGGTAGAAAGTGTAGGAAACCCTTAACGATCTGTTCCTGCAGATTTCTGATACTCCTGAATCATGTATGCCGCTGCAGCCGAGTATTTAATGAGAAACCATTTTAGTATCATCAGTTCGGACCGATTATGAGCCGGCTGTTCGTCACTTTGTGTGCAAAACTATAGTCACTCATTCCTGGTTGATATCATGATATTACTGTGCAAACTGCTGCCTGTCCTTTCAGATGTTACAGCGGTTGTCCTCTGTCCATTTAATGGGAAAGTTGTGTAGCTCTTCCATTTGGATCCGGAATAATTGATGTTTCTGCGGAGAGCAAGTGCCAACTGTTATTTATTTGATTTACCCCTCCCGCTCGGCAGCATACTCTGAGGTTTCTTTTTATATTGAGTGTCAAAATGGAAAAAGCCCTTCCTGCTTCATCTTCCTCTATGTCTCTGTCTGCCCATCTGTTTATCTTCTCACAGGATCTTTGCACATTGCTTTTGCACACGATGGAACTGATATTCACAGTATTGATTACCTGGGGCGTGTCAAAAAAGACTCTGTCTGAAATGTGAAGTCTGCAATGCTTGTGTTTGTACGTTTGTGTCTTCTTTGTGACGAGCAGGTTCCCACGGGGACAGCAGATGATTGACAGTTGTATTGGTAAAACCATCCACGACAGCAAATCAGAGCGAGTGTGATGAAGACAACGCGGCTTTATAGTGACATTTCTGTCGTCCTGAGAGCGAGCGAGAGAACGAGAGAGACAAAGTCTAGAGGCTTCAGTGTCCTGACAGAACCTCAGTCAGACATATTAAATGACATTCATAAATGACGTTCCACAGCTGCAGAATCAATACGGCAAATGACTAAAACAATGTGGCGGGGGGAAAAACACACTAGCCAGTATTAGACTTTGAACCCTTTTTAATCTTTCCCCCATGGCTTTGAACAAAGATGGCCTTCTTTGTGTTTGTGTGTGTGACATTGCGATGGCTTGAGGGAGCACATCACATGAACCTTGTTTTGTGTTCTCTTGGTAATAAGATTCTATCAAATGAGAAAAGGGCAAACTCGAGACACTAACACCAAGTTCCAATGGGATTCTTAAAGTGGCTTAGAACAGGGGGTTTTAATCTGGGGTTCGGGAACCCCCAGGGGAATTTAAAGGGGTCCGTAAAGAAGTTCGGAGAAAAAACGTTTTAAAAAAACACAATTTAATATGCATATAAATACAAATTATTATAATATTTATTTATAAATAAATATAATTAAATTAAACCGAATTTAACATTAACGTTTTCTAAAGACTGGTCTGTAATCATGAGATTGAGTTACAGTGTTGTTGTTGTTGTTTTTGTTTTTCTTCAGGTTTATATATCTTCAGTACACTAATGAATGATGGGTAAAAAAAAAAGGATACAGATATGTAAATATTATCTAGATAATATTTGACACATTCCTACATTTTTTTACTGTATATTCACATATACATATTGTTATTATTAGTATGTAATTAGTTAGGAAATGGGTCCCTCGCAGAAGGATGATCATATTTTGGGGTCGGTGGCGCCAAAATCTGTGAAAACCCCTGCCTTACAAACAATTCGCCTTTGGCTAAGCCACACCCTAGAATGTAGATTGACCAATCACAGCGCAGCCAAGAACGAGCTCCCACAGTGGTCCGACACTTTTTCACAGCGCTCCATTGACTTTAACACAGGCGTCTCATATTTTTGGTCTCGGCAGGCTATTACCGTCGTAGTTTTATCAAAAATATGGTTAACGTTGTGCCTGGGGCATTTGTAACACAGATGCGTGTTTCCCAGAGAGGTTGGAGGGGGGTGTCCGTTTTTTTCCCTTCCCAAACCGAAGTCAAATCCTGACAAGTGTCGTCTAGCACACGCTGCTAATAAATAAATTACAACGTTATACTCGCGTAGTCCGTTTGCTTTGTAATAACGATTATAGAAGTGAATAGAGACCTACCCAGCTTTGCATGAACAGTGTTGCTCCTTGATATTGTTAGTCCCAGCCTCCGTCTCGATTAGTAGGATATGCGGTGGTTGATTTTTTTACTGTGACCGGTATGCTTTTGCCTCTATTTGGATGCCTTGTTGTTCCTTGCGTTTCACCTGTATGTCGTGAATATAGCCTTCGAACGTATATTGCAGCCCCTTTTGCCTACTTCTATCGGACACTTTATTTGCTGCTTTATAAAAGTTTGATAAAATTTCAGCAGGAAGAGCTGTCACAGCATAAGCCATGTTGATACCAGAGCCCAGATGAAGTTTGTTTGTCGGACGTAGCAACAGTAACTAAGGGGGGCGGGGCTTAGCCAAAGGCGAATACCACGTAAATAAATACTATAGTACATGAACATGTTGCTCGTTTACTAGTATAGTAGGCTATAGATCAAAGTTCTATATTATTACTGTATTATCTGATACTGTCCCACCACTGTATTTTTGTAAGGATAGTATAAGCTTTTATGTAACGGGAAAGATTTTAACCCCTACAGCTTTTAATGTTTAAATTCATATGTCATGCCTTTGACGGATTCCTGCATTCAAGGTGCCCCTCCCCCCTCAAAATCAAGCTTGTGATCGTGTGTATAAATTCATATTAGTATCATGTGGAGTTTTAAAACTACTCTCCATGTAGAAATCAAACTCTTTTTGATGTTTATTTAAAGAGGCTAGCATTAGCGTTAGCAGAGGCAAAGGTGTTGAAAGCTAAGGGTGTGTTGAGAGACTAGCACTGAATTCTAACAGATTTGCCTGCATTATTTTGGCACTTTGTTACATAACTGCTCTCTTTCTCCCAGCGTAGAGCTGAGCCACTCCATCCCTTTAATCACAGACAGACTCGATGTACCGGGAAACTGTGTCGTTCACACGTATATGTTGCTGGAGGTCGCGGAGTGGCTGTATTGTTAAGCCACGATGTCCAGCTGAATCATGCGGATCACTGTCTGCGGTCTCATTGGTAGTCGCCGCATTGTGTCACTGCTCATTTGCCCTGCTCTGTTTTGTTACATCAGTGACTGTCTCTGTCTCTCATGACTCTGGAAATCGCCAGCTCTCATTGATAATTAATGATGTTCGGTCATTTTAGTGCTGTCAGTGTACATGCCTCTTTAGTCGTAATGGATGTTCCTACTGCTGGATGACCTGATGTTATTGGTGGTGTGGCAAAACTGGTCTTGTTTAGTTTTAGTTATAGTTTTAGTTGTGTTTTGTTTTGTTTCCTTATTGGTAGTATTGTAAGATTGTTATTTTTTTTTATAAAGGTATAGTTCACCCAAAAATGAAAATTCTGTCATCACTTACTCGCCCTCAAGTTGTTCCAAACTTTTATGAGTTTATTTGTTGTGTTGAACACATAGGTTAAAAAATATCTTTTGTTGTGAATCGTCAGCTTCCGGTTGCTCTGTTGTTACATTACTGTTTTGTTTTTGTTATTATTTTGTGTTTTGGGCTTTTATCATCTTAAGTAGATATGTTTAAACAACATATAAAGGAGCATTTTTGGGAAGAGAGAGAGTGTGCTTGGTCTCTCTCTTCATAGTCGTCAGGAACACGTGCACCATAGCTCTGACGGTTGCCTGTATTTGCAGTCGTCTTTCATTTTGATCCACACTCTCAAATCAAAATGACAGGGTTGTCATGTTGTTGGAGCACTTGGAGCGGAATGTGTGCTAGTTAAAAATATAAAGTGATACCACAGGGAATTGCAGCCATTGAATCAGAGCAAAGACTTCCCATATGCCAACTTTGTGGCATGGACTAATACCAACCCTCTCTCTCTCTCTCTTTTTCTTTCCAGGTGGCTCGATGGCCCGAAAAGGAAGAGAAAGAACAGCCAGTGTTCGGTGAAGAGCATGTCTGGTAAGATGTCTCGCATAAGACACTGATGCTCTTGCCTAGAGCTGCAGCAGTATGTGTTCCCCTCCTCATTCCTCCCAGAATACATCACTGACTGCACATTTCTGAGAAACACTCAAGAAACCCTGAGGGAGAGGAGGGTTTTCAGTTGCCCCGTGATCCTCCTTGCATCAACTCCAGCATCAGTTCAGCTCAATAGACCTGTTGTTATGTGATGTTCTGGTGATACTCCTTCAGGACATTATAACTCATGTTAAAGCTATCCTTCTCCCAGGCTAATGGGCTGTGTAAGGATTGGCTTTGTATTGGTTTGTGTATGGAGTAGCTGTTCATTTAAGGAAGTTCAATAAAGTTGGTCGTGATGTTAGTACATTATCAGGACTCCGCATCTCTGCTTGCTTGGTTTAGACCCATCAGTCCTGCCCTCTTCACCTCATGCCCACAGTAGCCAAATAAAGCAAGCCAGATTCATCCCAACATCCTCTTCAATCTCTAACCTTGTAGTTTTCTAATGCTGGTGCTGTCACGTGTGCTTATGACGAAAGACGCTAGAGCAGTGTGATAATATTTTACAATTCCAAAATTATCTGGTGTTTTATTTTGTGCAAAGAATACATTTTTAAAAAAGAAGTCTAAAAAAAACTTGACCCAATAAATATGCCATATTTTACATGAGTCTGCATTTTTATTTAACCCCATCTTTGCACCACCTGCTGGTGATGTTTGTATATGTTAATGTAAGAAGTTACAATTTTTCATTCTCTTTTCACCTATTTTAGTTTTAAGAATGGTATATCTGGGAAAAAAGGTCTTCAGCTTTGTAAAAACCTGGAAAAAATTGTTGATAATACATGTGATAATAGTTATTTATATATCTTTTTTCAGCTCTTTATACACTCCTGTTCAGAAGTTTGGTGTCAGTTGTTTTTTTATCAATACTTTTATTCAGCAAATATGCTTTTAATTTATCAAAAGTTACCGTAAAGACAATTATAATGTTTCAAAATCCCAAAGAATCCTGAAAAAAGTGGACTTTTGCCATTTACTGTAAGCTATAGCATGTTTCTCAAATAATAACCTGTTTCATATTCATGAAAGCCATCACAAATTTGCTGTAGGCTCCGGCAGTTGACTAAGCATAAGGCAAGAGATTGTTCTTCCTGTCAGAAACACTGGCGGATCTTAATTGCTGTCAAGTGACACTCAGGGCTCTTCAGGGCTTTCACCAATCATGTTAACTAGACTAGGCCTTAAATAGATACTCTGATGAAGTGTGTCATTTCTGCAGTAACGCAGCTATAAACGAAATTTAAATTTGAAATATTTTCCTAACAGTTTCGAGTTCCCATCCCCAAACTAACACCATTGGTTGGACTAAGATTTCTACACTGTAAAAAAAGTTGCTTACTTAAAACCCTTTAAGTGTCACCCCCCTTTTTTTGAATATACATGAAAATGCACATTTCGAACTTAAATGGTTGTAATTCAAGAATGCTTTGGAATATAGACGTAAGATTGGTCTTGTTTTAAAGAAGACATTTGGCAGATTTTTGTAGAAGTGAAATAAATTAAGAAAGTGAAACAGAAAAAAAGTTAGAGAAGTTTGAGTTTATGAAAATGTACAATGTAAAAAAAAATAATTATTCATATTTTATATAAAATACATATTTTCAAAACCTGGGCGACTCTAAAACTGCAAAAAAATCAAAGCCAAAAATCTGAACAAGTTGTGTTTCAAATTTTAGGTTGATATCTCAAAAAATGAGCTTTCAGTAAGATTTTGTTTGGGCGCAGTACCAAACTTTTTCACTAGATGACAACCAGACTCCATTACTGCCCATATAAGGGCGCCTCCATTTCCATATGTGTTTTGAGTGATATGAACCATTATTTCCACAATTTTCATACAATTTATGAAGTAGACATCCTATTCAGAAGTAATATGAGAAGTTTGGCAGATTTTGATATGATTTCAACCTCTAAGAAACATAAAAAGAACACGCATGTGCGTTTTAGCTTCCTGCCACATCATATAATTTTTTTCTTTATATAAAAAAAAAAATTCAGACCTTTTTTTTTTTAAATAATTGAATGGATGCTATCTTTTGAACTCTTGGCATGAAAACAAACTGAGATTTCTACCCTTCTTTCATGATTTTTCATGTTCATCACTATTTCAAAATAAAGGTCTAAGAGTATGAAAATATTATTGTTGCAAATTGATAAATTACGGCTCCTCTGTAATTTATTTTGAAAATCAATCACCAAATATGGAAACTAGAGATTGTAAGCTTTCAAATGATATATAGTTTGTCAAGATTAGTTTAGGTTTAGTATAGGATATTACTGTTTTAAAAATGTAAAGGATTTGGGCCCACCGGTGGGCCCGTGACACTTAAGGGGTTAAATTAAGTTCAATCAACTTGAATGTTTAAGTCGTTTCAACTTAAATTACATTAAATTGACTAAAACATTAGTTGATTCTTGTATGACTTATAAAAAAGGTTAAAAATTGCTTATTTTGATGAGATAAAGCAATATACAAACATGTCATCATAACCTATTTATGTATGTATGTATGTGTATATATATTGAGATAAATGTGACTTCTGGTTTCTCAGTATGTGCTTTGTGGTGTTGATGTGCTGGTGTTTGTACTTGTTTGTTGGTAGTTGCTATCAGTTAGCAGTTAAGAGTTGTTTTTATATATTTATTTCTTTATTTTGTATGGCAGGGTACATCCCCAGCTATCTGGAGAAGGATGAGCCATGTGTGGTGTGTGGAGACAAAGCTACAGGCTACCACTACCGCTGCATCACCTGTGAGGGCTGTAAGGTAGGACTTGTGCACAGTGATGACATGTGTGTTAACAGACACTTCAGCCCCACATCTATTAATACAGACTAGACTGTCACTTCACGTAGAGTCATGGTGTGGAGCTGGTCCCATCTTTTCAACAATACACCCTGTTGTCATTTGTGAAACTTAGACTCCTATCACTATCAAACCTGTCTAGCCTAAAAAACCCTGTCAACCATCTTATCCACTATCTGTCTCTCTGTATGTGAAGGGAGAGAATTGTGAGTGACAATTGTGCTGTGCATGTCTTTGTGACTCCTGTCTAAACAGTCTGATTTGAAGAGCTCTAAGAGCTTGCGGATCCCCTTACTGCAAAAAAAAGACGTTTGCTAAACATCTATCAAATTAGGGATGTCAGCAACTTGCACGTGCTCTGTGCAGTTATTTAATTTAACCTGTTAACTGTCACCCCCCTTTTTTTTGCATAGACATACAAATCACTAACCAAACTTAAATGGTTGTAATTCAGAAATGCTTTGGAATATAGACCTATGGCTGGTCTTGTTTTAAAGAAGACATTTTCCAGATTATTGTAGAAGTCTAAAAATGATAAAAAATGAAACAGAAAAAAGTTATATAAGTTTGAGTTTATGAAATTGTGTAATGTAAAAATATAATTATTAATATTTTATATAAAATATATATATTACAAAATATATTTTACTCTAAAACTGCAAGAAAATTAAAGACACAAATCTGAACAAGTTGTATTCCAAATTTTAGGTTGATATCTAAAAAAAATTAGCTTTCAGTAAGATTTTATTTGGGCGCAGTACCCAACTTTATCACTAGACTCCATTACTGCCCATATAAGGGCGCCTTCATTTTCATATATGTTTTGAGTGATCTGAACCATGTATTTCCATAATTTTCATACAATTTATGAAGTAGACATCCTATTCAGAAGAAGTATGGGTGGTTTGGCAGTATTTGATTTGAATTCAACCTCTAATAAATGCATAAAAAGACTACGTTATAGCGTTATAGCTCGCCGCCAATCAGAAATCGAGAATCCATACATTTTTCTTTATATTTAAAACATTTTCAGACCTTTTTTTCTCATAAAATGGAATTGGTGTTATCTTTTGAACTCATGGCATGAAAACAAACTGAGGTTTCTACCGATCTTTCATGATTTTTCGTGTTTATTGTTATTTCAAAATAAAGGCCTAAATACTCCTAATGAATATGAAATATTCTTGTTGCAAATTGATAAATTACTGCTCCTCTGTAATTTATTTTAGATAACAGCCACCAAATATGAAAACTAGAGATTTTAAGCTTTCAAATGATATATAGTTTGGCAATATTACTTTAGGTTTTTATTAAGATATTATTGTTTTAAACATGCAATGGCAAATGCCATGCAGGTTAAGAGGTTAATTTAATTTAATAATTTGTAATCTTTTTTCTTCTTTTTTTTTGTTAGGGTTTCCCTAAATAAGGGAATGTGTTCAAGAGCTTATTCTTTTTTTTCCTGTAGTATAAAATTTGGTATTAAGACTAATTTGTATTACTGAAATTTGAGCTTTTTGGCAACCCTACAGAAAACAAGACAACATTGCAGAAGATATCGTTAAGATATAAGAGTTGGTAAGATATCATTGGCAAATAGTTTTTGTTTGCTTATTTTAAGCATTCATCTACGCAACTATTAGGCTCCTTAAAACAAGATACATATGTTCTCTCTTAATTCCTATATTCTATGGAAACATGTTTTATTCTCATACGCATTTTTGCTTCTCAAAAGGATATTTAGATATTTTTTCAGCAAAACGAAACAAAAAGCCTCTTTGTATCCACCTGCTCCATATGTGACGGATAACACACAAAATGTCTGACTCCCTGCCTCTGAATAATCGCTTTATCCAACTTACTCCCAGGGATTCTTCAGACGCACCATCCAGAAGAACCTCCACCCCTCTTACTCCTGTAAATACGATGGCTGCTGCATTATCGACAAAATCACCCGCAACCAGTGCCAGCTGTGCCGCTTCAAGAAATGCATCGCCGTGGGCATGGCCATGGATCGTGAGTGACCTCACACACTCATGCAAATAACATACAAAATCATCGAACATGCAAAAAACACACACACAGAGACATATAAAAACATGGGTCAGTACATGGCTTTGCAAGTCAGTCTCACTGTACAGTCTTTTCACTGATCATCAGCAGTTGTTATCCATCTCTAAGTTAATAGAATTTGTAATGAAAAAAATGTTAAATAAGGAAAATAATTCAAAACGGAAGCATTTGAACTTCTACATCAGGCATTTGGACCCCACTGTATTGGATCCCGAATTCAGCCCTACTCCTTCCATACACAAATGCATGCTGACAGCGAAGGTACATTAATCCTATGCAAAGTGAAATGCTCAGTCTGAGGTTCCCCTTCCGTATGTCTATACGTCTCACATATGTACAGCACATGTTCAGCCCAGACCACATTTCTTCTTCCTCTGTCACTCCCTCTCTCTTTCTACTCTATAATGTTTTATGGATGTTTCTTGTTTCTTCTTTGATCCCTCTTCGATGCTCTTACTCGTTCTGTCACCGCCATTCTGCACTGCAAAATCATTACTTTTGTTTTCCAGGAAACAAAACAGGTTTTCCATCCTTAAAATGAAAGATTTACTGGAAAAGCAACTCGACCAAACAAATTAAGAGGACCATAACTTAATTGCACTGTTTTTTGCATCATGAGAGTGGGAGAATTAACCAATTTTTCTCTATGGTGTAGTGGTTCTGGACGATTCCAAACGGGTTGCGAAACGACGCTTGATTGAGGAGAACCGTGAGAAGCGGAAGAAGGAGGAGATGGTCAAGACCCTTCAGAATCGGCCAGAACCCACCAGCTCAGAGTGGGAGCTGATCCGTATGGTGACAGAAGCTCACCGCCACACCAATGCACAGGGCTCTCACTGGAAACAGAAACGCAAGTTCCTGGTAAGCAAGCACCTTGGGTGTCAGGCCAGTTTTGTTTGTATAGCAGGGTTGTTATTGTTAACTTAAACTGTAACTAATATTAGAGCTGCACCGTGAATCGTTAAAAGACCGCGATCTCAATTCAAACACCCACACGATCTCATTCCTAAATGACAACGATTCGCCCGTGTCTGTTAAACATTTGACCAAATCACACCAGAACATGCAAATCTCTGTCGGCACTGCCGCTTAGCCAGAGAGAGCAGTCGTCATGTATATGAAACAGCTTCTCAAACAGTCTTTTCAACATCACAGTATCGGTATTTCTGTGTTACAAATATTCATATTATTACAGAAGAACTGATAAAAGTTTATAGTTAAGATATAAACACTGATGTACTTTTGAAAGTAATATGGCGCTTCAAATAAATGATTGTCAATTACATTGTACACCACCAGGTGGCGACAAGTGACTGTTAAAAAATATATATTTTTCATTGAATCATTCATTCAAGAGATTTGTTCAAAAATGCTGATTCATCCACTAATGAATCAAGTGAAGTCTTTATGAGTGAGTCATTGAATCATTTATTCAAACCGATTTTTTTTATATAATTCATTCAGATTAGTTAAACATTTTAAATAGACTGCAATTAACGTTTTGTCAGAACCTCTAGTAAATTACATGGTATTTTGGCGTTAAATTACATGGTATTTTGTTACATAAATTACATTTGGTATTTAGTTGTCTGTTCAGAATCTCTATTTGAAACAAGAAAAAACTGTTATTCTCAGTTTATCCAGTCGTGCTGCTCTAACTAATACATTTAATAATGGTTTTCGGTAATAAAAGCTGTAATAAAATAACATTTAAATATGTGAAAAACAAAAACGAAAGTGTTGCCCTGGCAAGTAACTGAAATAAATAATGTTAAGCTGATGTGTTAAAATTACTGAAACTAAAACTGAAATAAAAATATATTTAAAGCTATCTAGGAACTATATATACTATATATAGTTTATATATAGCTATACACACATACTTTGTTGTGCTTTTGTTATTTAATTTATATATATATATATATATATATATATATAAAACTAAAAGCAAATTCAAAATATTAATAAATGTTATAATAGTATATAAATAATACTAATACTAATAACACTGGTATTACGTTTATCACAATACATTCAGCTTGAAAGCAGCTTTGCAGAAAATAGTAGCTTCTAAATTAGTACAATATTTCCATATAATAGTAGATGTCTATACATACATATAAATCTTACATGTTTAGGTAGCTGAATAAACGTCATTTTATTTTATTTGTGTGCATTTATTTTATTTCTGTCTGTCTGCTCACTACATTTTGTTTTAGCTTAGCGCATTGCTATGGCCTTATCTGTCAGTGCAGATTAGCTTTTGTTTACACAGCTTGCTAATCAATTTAATGAGTGACAATACCAGTCTGCAAATATCAGTTGTGACCAGGCGACAGCGAGCGCTAAAACAACTGACAGGTATAACTGGAATGTAACCACGAAGGGCCTTTGTAAAAGCGTCTCTGTTTATGAAGAAGGAAGGAAAGAGGAAGGAAAGAGTTTAGATGGTATTTATCGCTCATTCTCTCGGACAATATACTACCTACTGTGAAAGGTGGCAGGATAAAGGAAGAGAAAATGGAAAGGAAGCGTTTAGGAGAGAGACACAGGATATTTCTCAGTGTAATGGGCTGCCTACCAAACATCTAGTGGGTTATCTGTCCTGAAAGACAAGTCGATCTTAAAGAGTCATTTACTCGGCTCATGTCATTCCAAAGCTTTATGACTTTTTTTTCTCTCTCTGTTTTGTGTGTCCATAACAATGTTTTGGACCCCATTGACTTTAATTGTATGGAAAAAAGCAGTTCTTCAAACATTCTTTAAATAGGCTCGCTTCAACATGGTATCTGAACATGTCTTACTGGGAGAAGGAGTGATTTGGAGACTCTCCATCATAGAAACCAAAGTAGGTTTTCTCAGCCCACCAAACACCCAGCCATTAAGAGCGCCATCAAAGCCCTGACGCACACCAATCTAAACATTCGGCTTGTACTAGACCCTGTTACGATCATCCACAGGGGACAGAGAAACCACTTCCTCGGCCGGCTCAGAACTCCTGTAAAACGGCTCATAAAGAATCCAGCCTGTATAACCTTTACTACCAAGATATGCCTCCAATAACAGTGCAAGGCCGAGACCCCGAATGACCCCGATAAACTGCACTCTCTTTCTCCATGGGAACACTCACTCCGTCCTGTCGGTAGTCCAACTGGGCTGTCTTAAGATCTCTGTAGTGAGAAAGCGCGGTGCCAAGTTCTCAGCAGTGAGAAGGCCAGGGTGGACCAGCAGAGGGGATAGTTTACACTGGGGTCTTACAAGCGTTTGGGACGCATCCAGGGCCTGCGCTACCCCCACCTCCTGGAAGAAGAGGCACACACAAACTTTGGCTCATGCTTGTTAAAACTTACACAAATACACCAGTGCGGCACAGTTAAAACAGTCCCGTCCATCTGAGACAGCGTAAGCACAAACACACAAATCTTAAGTTCCTCAGAGGCACATTCTGAATCGCTGAACAGATTCTTTTGCGTTTTATTCACTTTCTAGACATAGCCTCTCTGTGTGGTGTGTAGTTTCTGATCTGCATGTCGCATGACGGCTTCCTAGCAGCTTTAGCGCTAATACACGGTAATATTAATACGAGTAATTTTGTCTGTCACAGCTGTAATGTCCTGAGCCTTGTTTGCTCTCACAACCTCACAATGAAACAAAATAGTGTTTGTGTGTAGGCCAGCACTGCGCTTTTTTTCTGCCGTCTTGTCTTGATTTCAGTGTCTTTGTTTATTTCTGTCTGTTTGCTTTATCAGAAACAAAGAAATCAATGTGATTGGACAGTTTGAGGTCTTTAGGACAGTCGCTGTTGTGCTGCAAGGGGTGGCGTCCACCACATTGACATGTTTTTATATATTTTTTGTTCAGGTTTTTTATGGGCATCACAAAATGGCATGGATATTAATTAGGTATTTTTTTTACTTTTGGATAATTACTATATATTTGCAAGGCTGCATTTATTTGATCAGAAATACAGTAAAACAGTAATTATAAGAACTCATTTATGTTTTATTATTTTTTAAATGTAAATGAATCCTGTGCAAAGCTGAGTTTTCAGCATTATTATTCCAGTCTTCAGTTTCACATAATCTTTCAGAATTCATTCTAATATGCTGATTTGGGGCTTAACAAACATTTATTATTATCAATGCTGTTGAGAACAGATGTGCTGCTTAATATTTTTGTGGAAACCATGATAAAAAATTTTTCCCTTGATTTTGTTTTTTTGGGATGAATATTTTTTTTTTTACACTATGAATGTCTTTACTGTCACTTTTGAGGAATTTAATGCAAACGTGCGAGTAAAAGTATTATATGTATATTTATTTCGAAATAAATATATATATTTCTAACATATTATATATATATACAATTACAATTATATACTATTTAATTTGATAACTTCCCTTTTTAACCCCTTTTTTACTTTCTCTATCACTTATTTCATTCCTGTGAATCTATGCACTTGTTATTCTTACATGTCAGTGGTATTGAATGCAGTCCATGAATCATAGCCGTGTCTCGCATTCAAAAAATATTTCTGCAAAAGCCAACATGTAATGCTGTAATTGCAGCTCTGTCTCTTGAGTACTTATAATTACCTCTATTCTGACTCGTATAACACACCTCTTACTGCATACATAGAATGTTGCTCCAGATGCCAGGGCTACTTGGCTGTTTGTCCAGAGTTTTTACATGGCTGACCTCAAATCCACCCTGAGGACACCAAACGCTGTGGTTTTCCAAGGCTATCAGGCTACACAACTGCAAAGCCAGAGCCCGCACATGCATCTCATACTGTCTATCTGTCTATTCATTCATTTATTCTTCAATGGAAATACATTGTCACAGTTAACCCTCTGTGAATCTGTCTGTGTCTGCAGCCGGAGGACATCGGACAGTCTCCGGTGGTTCCCACATCAGATGGTGACAAAGTGGATTTGGAGGCCTTCAGCGAGTTTACCAAGATCATCACCCCAGCCATCACACGTGTTGTTGACTTTGCCAAAAAACTGCCCATGTTTTCAGAGGTGAGAGTGCTGTTAGGTTTTGTCTTTATTTTTTATTTTACAACTGTTTGAAGTGTTTTTGTCAGTGCCGGTCCTAGACTTCTGGGGGCCCTAAGCTAAACTTTTAAGGTGACCCTGTCAGTGCGTCATAAAAAATAAAAAAATGACACCCAACCCCTTAATCTGTTCTTTCAGAGCAGTTTCACTATCAGCAATCAATAGTTGATCTTAGTGAGAATGACAAACAATAGGATAAAAAATACAAACGAATTAAACATAGCCTTTTAAAAATAAAAGCCTACTATACAGAAATTAAATCAATCAAATGTAAAAATAAAACACTGCATAGTCTTCACTGTATGAATTAATATAGATTTTTATTAAAGTTACTAAAGTTATTCAGTGAATATTATATGTACAATAAGCAGAATACTGGCAAACGAAACGACCCATAGCAATCTGTTATGTCTCAGATAGTCTGACGGCAGAAAAAAAATAAGCAGTAAATGAATTACTTTCGAGTGATTCGTTACAAAAGTGGCCATCAAACATGCTAAACACGAAAGCTGGAACGCGTGTGTGATGCGCTAGAACACACCTCTGACGCGTCAGGCATGCACTTTTTAACTTCTTGTCCTTTTAATGGCGGTTGGCACATCCATTTGAAGGTACATACCGCCACCTACTGCACGACATCTGTGTGACAGTTGACGTAAAATAAAGGATCGAGCTGAAGATAGCCGATACCAGTCAGTTGAAAAAATGCTTAATCAGCTCGGATACTGAGCCTTGAGATCGGCTTTGGACATCTCTGGTTATTTGTAATTGTTGCCAAATTATTCAGCTGATAAAACTAGAGGTCGACCGATTCATCGGTTTTGCCGATTAATCGGCACCGATAGTTGTTTGGTGGAACTATCGTTATCGGCAAAAATCCACACCGATAGTTTTTCCGGATTGCGTCTGTTGCTGGAGCGGCTGAGAAGTGCGCGCGGTCATTACACAGCACGAGAGCGCTCAGAACAGAAGAGACTGCTGGCATTATACAGAGTGAGAGCGGCCTCTAGAGGACAAATAACAAACTATCACTGGCTGAGTTGTTTACGTCAAAGGCCAATTTATACTTCTGCGTCGGGTGCGCGCAGTAGGTACGGCGTAGCATACGCACAGACGCGTACCATACGCCGTACCCTTCGCCGTAACCTGACGCGCACCTCCTCAAAAATGTAACTACACGTCGCGACGACGCGGACCGCAAGATCTGTGATTGGTCGGCTTGGGAGCATCGCGTTTCCTCCTATGTATTTCCGGCGTGTTCTTCTGCACCGCCCGCCATTTTTAAATTCTAAGTACAGCGAAACTGTAAAAAAAAAAAAAAAAAAATTACCTTTTCCACCTCGATAAGCTCCAACTCCAACATGATCTGCTCTCTTTCAGTCGACATTGCTTGTAGTAACCTAAACTCAAAACAGCCGCGAGGAATCTTCTTCTTCTTGCCGCGAGGAATCTAAACACAGTGGAACATTAAAACCCTCCGCCGCCAACTAGCGTTTCGGCGCTGTACTGCAGAGCAACGCAGACCTAAACGCAGAAGTATAAATTAAGCCTTGTTTATACTCGACGCGTCCGCAAGAGCGCAAAGGTGCGCGCGGCAAAAATGACGTCATTGCGGTGTGGGCGGTCGTGCGCGTTGGGTGCGCAAGACCCCATTTCGCCTGGCGGTGTGCACGGCACTTTTTGTAACATCGCGCGCGGCGCCGCATCCGAAGATGAACGACTTCGAGCCGAATCTGGCCGAACTGGTACGTCTGTATCAGCATGTTTATGGTCCTTCTATATACAGAGACATTTGTATTGATGGGCGACCATAAAAGCCTCTCATTTTGTGAATAGGAACACATTTGCATTAAGCACCCAGTTTGCACTTGTCTAAAGTAACTGCTTACATTTAGAAAATTAGCCTACAATAGCAGAAGTAAGCCCTGCTGATGAAATTAAGGTTTAAACACTCTTCAATAAGGCTTCAGTTGTTTAGTTTACATGCAGTGAAAGTACAATAAACCTACTGCATTTAATACTATTTTTATATGAATCAGCAATTAATAAACTACTAATAAACGGCAAACTACTTCTTCACTGCTGATTCCTGGTGGTTTAGAAGAGAATTACTCCGAGTCGCCCCCTGTCGTTTCACAGAATAGCACAACGGCGAGCGCGTCAAGTATAAACGCCTCGTCCGTTTGGAGAGGTCCGCGCGCAGTCAGCGGAGACTCGCGCTCTTGCGGACGCGTCGAGTATAAAGGCCAATTTATACTTCTGCGTCGGGTGCGCGCAGTAGGTACGGCGTAGCATACGCACAGACGCGTACCATACGCCGTACCCTTCGCCGTAACCTGACGCGCACCTCCTCAAAAATGTAACTACACGTCGCGACGACGCGCACCGCAAGATCTGTGATTGGTCGGCTTGGTAGCATCGCGTTTCCTCCTATGCATTTCCGGCGTGTTCTTCTGCACCGCCCGCCATTTTTAAATTCTAAGTACAGCGAAACTGTTAAAAAAAACTAAAAATTTACCTTTTCCACCTCGATAAGCTCCAACTCCAACATGATCTGCTCTCTTTCAGTCGCCATTGCTTGTAGTAACCTAAACTCAAAACAGCCGCGAGGAATCTTCTTCTTCTTGCCGCGAGGAATCTAAACACAGTGGAACATTAAAACCCTCCGCCGCCAACTAGCGTTTCGGCGCTGTACTGCAGAGCAACGCAGACCTAAACGCAGAAGTATAAATGCTCATGACGGCGTCGCCTACGTGCGTAGCCTACGCCGTACACTACGGCGTACACTCGACGCAGAAGTATAAATTGGCCTTAAACAAGGCTTAAATGCTCATGACGGCGTCGCCTACGTGCGTAGCGTACGCCGTACACTACGGCGTACACTCGACGCAGAAGTATAAATTGGCCTTAACACGTGAGGCAGCGCGCAGCACGGAGAGAACACACAGCGAGAGCGCTGACATTTAAAACAACGACAGCGAAACGGTATGAATACATAACACTAAAGTAGCTACATATTGCCATATCATTACAAATTAATTCATTTGTTGACTAGATGCTGCATCAGCAGAGAAAGAACAGTAGTTTGCCGTCGAGGCTGTGAGGACTCTAACATTACCTCAGTCAACCGTTAATGCAATGTGACAAAAACACACGCAGACCTGACCCAAATGTTTTATGGCGCAATTGTTACCATCTATTTGCATTATTTTTATCCGGCTGGTCATTTTTATGCATTCATTAGCCAACGAAGTAGCATATTTAAAACTAGTGACGTGATTGCTTTCTCGACATTGATAAACTAAACTAATCAGAAACGCGTTCGATTTAAGATCTTTTTAATCACTACAATAGATCTTGTTATTTTGATTAGATAATCATCAAGTGTTCTAAAATATAGAAGCAAATAAAGTGAGAGACTATAGGCTATATTACGTATACATACTACAGGTCTTGATTACATTTTAATGGCGATCTTTAAGCACGACTCTTTGGAATCATATGAAATGGTAACACTTTACAATAACATTCCATTTTTAGCATTAAATAAGGTTAATACAAATTGTAGAAGAATTATTCATTGTTACGGTAGTTTGTTAATTTCAACATTTACTAATGCATTTGAAATGGAGTTTTAATTCTTATTTTATCTTTTATTACCTTAGTTAATGTACTATGAATGAACTAACATGAATGATAAAGGTACAATTGTATTGCTCATATTAATAGATGCAGTAAAAAGGTATATTGCATTATGCATATAGTTCATGAAAGCTAGTTAATACATCCTTGTTTATAAATGGGACTTGCAAAGTGTTACCTATGAAATCTACGTATGTTTCTAGGTTATAGCTAACGAAACCTGTAATATTTTAATGTTTAAATTATTTTCTGTATAAAGTTTTAATATATTCATATTTATTTATTTAATTGAGCACATTTCAGTTCAGCACTGTTTTATTGTGAGTATGATGTTTGTTTTTAATCCAGTATCCATAAAAAAAAATATCGGTTGAATTATCGTTTATCGGCATGTACGGTCAAACCTGGATATCGGTATCGGTAAAATCCACTATCGGTCGACCTCTAGATAAAACAACAACACATATTTTGGGAATGTGTCAGTTATTGGTGGATTTTTTAATGTATTTGCTATCCATCATGTTAGGATGAATTGTACAGTTGTAGCTTTGTGTGTGTGTGCATGCGTGCGATATTGCCACATTACATCATTCATAGTTATGTGGCATTCTCTCCATATTTATCATTCACCATCTCTCCTTTAACCGCAAGTGTGAACATTCTTGCATAGTAGACTACACAGCACCCTTATGGCAGAATATTTATTATTGTCTACACAATAAATTTCCTGTCATCCACTACTAGGGATGTAACGATTCACTCGCAACCGGTTGAAAATCGATAAAAATGTGTGACGATTCAAGTCGGTTGAAATGTTAAACGAATCGCGATACACGTTTTAAACAGCAGGGCGCGTTTACTATAGCCTACTGTGAAGTTGTGAACCTCGCTTTACAATAGCACAATAGCAGCGAGCACACACTGGCGTGAAGCTAGCGAGTGTTTTCACTTCATTCATGGAACTTGATCTTGTGTGAGCCAAGCTCAACTTCCATAGGAATGAACTGAAAACGCTCGGTTTGCTCCGCTCGCGCCGCACCAGTGTGTGCCATAGACTGGTGTGCACGTGCCGTCAAACAGTAGACATGGCTTTGGCGACGGCAAGCGTAGATGTTGACGTTGACTCATTCAAATCGGAGGTGTGGCGGCATTTTGACTTTCCGTAGACTAATAATAATCACCACCGTGAGTAACACCAGTCACCTCCGTTTTCATGTAAAAGTCATTAATACTACAATTGCGAGAGCCACGGAGATCACAAGGTGCATCAGTGTTTCCGTGGCAACCAGGTGTTGTATTTATTTTACTATCTCTTTCTCTAAATGTGTTTTTTTTTTACTCTTACTAGTGTAATGATACAAATTATAACAAAATTAGAATCTTGCCTTTATTACAATGTAAAACCCCTGTCAATCTGGTACTACTAATTTTACACAGTCTTTTACATAGTGTGCGAAGGTACCAGTGTCCAGCCTCTTGACCAAACAGACAGAAAGACTGAGTTGAAACAACCTTGAAGGGAATTTTTTTAATGTAGTTTTATTATTTGAGAAATATATTTTAAATTAAAAAGAAATGTGCAGCATTTTGTCTGAGAAATAATAAAAGGGACACTTTTGTCTTAAATCGCATTTGTTAAAAAAATCGTGAGAAAATCGTATCGTGAAACCAGTATCGTGAATCGTATCGCATCGTGAGATGAGTGAATCGTTACATCCCTATCCACTACCTCTCAGTCTATTTTCTACTTTGAGCGTTATGCCTCCTGTATTTTCCAGACTTTGAGACAATATCTTCCAGACAATGCACACCTAGACTGACTGTAATACAAAAAAAATAACACTGAACACTACCTTGTTGCTTTTGTAAATTATGTGAAATGTTTTATACAGTATATCAGTGTAAATGTTACTTGTGAAGAACATGTATTTGACCGTTCAGGCGCACAACCGAAGACAAAACCTACTATTCTCGTCTGTGTTCCACTCGGAAAGCATCCTGTCGGTAGCGGATTTAGTTCTCTTTTGCAGCGTAGGCTATTGCGCTTTTAATATTTATTTTTTAATATTAAAGGTGCATTGCGCAAGTCTCTGAGTTTTTGCAGAACTATGCCCCCTCTGGCGACAAGCGAAACTGCAACCAGAGGTGTGCACGCTCATGGACCACACGCACACTTGCACGAGCACGAGCTGTTCATTACCAAAGGAGCATCAGCCGCACAAATCTTTTGTTTACAGTCATAATGTCTTCAGAGGTAATAAAGTTATAAATCTGCAAGTCATTTTAAATATATGAAAGGAAAGGCATTTGAGTAAATTACACACAGGGGAAAACGGGGGTAGTAGAAAACTTTTTGTTCCCATCTATCCCCATGTTGAACTGTTTTATGTGTTTACTGTATCCACTTATGATTGTATTATTATGGAAACACGTTCATGAACAATATAAATTATTACTTTGTAAAAGCTCAAAATAATAATCAGAGGATCCCGTTTGAGCCCTAGAGCAGACCGGAGATCTCTCCATTTGTTGAAAGCCTTCCCGATGTTGACTCTCGTCTTATTCCGACGTCTGTCTGACTCCAATTTGGCCCTTTTGGTGGCACTAGACAAAAGTTTTCTTTTCTTTGTCTTACGTGGAGTTTGCGTTGGGGTTTGGAATGAAATACAAGCCGGTCTCTTAGAATCCATCTTCTACTTTTGTCGAAAAGTTGACTAAAGTTTTGTCGCTCGAGTTGTCATCGCTGATACGGAGAATGGCGGCGAATACACAAACCTGCCAGACATAGCCAGGTGAACGTGAACGCGCATGACGTCACGCCCAGTCTCAAATTCCGTCCCAAATCCCTCTTATTTATTTTACTGTACAGGATTATAGAGGTAATCGCAGTGATCAGAGAAGGGCTCATTCAGCCCATCAGGCAATTGTTTAAGCATGTATGGGTTAGAAAAACGGGTATTTTTAACATAAAATGTTGCGCAATGCACCACATTCCGCTCTTTAGTTCGTCATTCGTCCGTTTCGGTATTAATAACTTCAAAGAGTCCCGTCCACTGAAAGCTGCGTGGATTATCATAAATTTATCTGCGACAAAAGCAAAAGTACCTGGTGAAATATTTCAAAATGTCTCTTGAAACAGCAGAGCACCAGTTTCAATAAAATGATGTTTCAGCCTAGTCAATTTTTTTATATACTTTAACATTTTCGCTGTGGTTCTTAAAACATTTTCTTTCTGCTATTGTCACACATGAGCTATGTAGCTGTCTCCAGATCACGCGGAGACAGTATTACAGACACGATACCAATGTTTGAAATGCTTTCAAGAAGGGTTTTTCAAGGCCTCTGGACAATGCCACAGAAGGTTTTAGGTTACCGTTAGCATATGTAATTATGTATTTTCATGTGATTTCTGATTTCTGTAGCTGCCTTGTGAGGATCAGATCATCCTGCTGAAGGGCTGCTGTATGGAGATTATGTCCCTACGAGCCGCAGTTCGATACGACCCAGAAAGCGAGACGTTGACCCTGAGCGGGGAGATGGCTGTCAAACGAGAGCAGCTTAAGAATGGAGGGCTGGGCGTTGTGTCTGACGCCATCTTCGACTTGGGCAAGAGTCTGGCTCAGTTCACCCTGGATGACACAGAGGTGGCCCTGCTGCAGGCCGTCCTGCTCATGAGCTCAGGTAAGAGAGGACACCTGAGTTACAGTAATTCTGCTCATATACCAAAATTATTCTTTGTGAGAGAAAACTCAAAATCTCAGCAGCAAGAAGACACCAAACGGATTTGAGATCAATGTTAGGCTCTGATTCTGAAGCTAGTGAGCTACCTTGCTGTCTTCTATGGGAACATGCTCGAAACTCGAAATAGAACTCAGGGATCAAAGCTAAGGATTGAGGCCTAACAGTTCTTCTTTAGATAAAGCATGTTCAAGAGAATTCATCAAACCTGTAACAGGCGGGTTCTGGAAGTAAAAACCCCAATCATTTTGTCCATAGAATTTTTTAATTTTTTATTATACCTAATATTTAGATGTTTTTTTATTTCATTTCAGTTGCCGAAAGCATAGTTTTAGGTTTTGGAACATGGTATTTGGTGAATATTGTAGTGGTAGATCTATTGGCTTGATACAATGCTAAATTGGTCATATACTGAGTATTGTCCTTGCGTCTCTTCAGATCGAACAGGCCTGACGTCTGTGGAGAAGATCGAGAAGTGCCAGGAGATGTACCTCTTAGCGTTCGAACACTACATCAACTATCGCAAGCACAACATTCCTCATTTCTGGCCCAAGCTGCTGATGAAGGTGACGGACCTGCGCATGATCGGAGCCTGCCACGCCAGCCGCTTCCTGCACATGAAGGTGGAATGCCCCACTGAACTCTTCCCCCCACTTTTCCTGGAGGTCTTCGAGGATCAGGACGTGTGACGTCCCGGCGAGTCGCGGCAGGAGAATCAGGAACGTTTCATAACCAGTGTTTCTCTCCCCGTCTCACCCCCCTCCATGCACCAAACTCACCAGCAACAGCTGCATTGGCAGGGGTCATCTTCAGAAAGGCTTTCATATGGGGAGGGGGGTTAATTCAACAACTTTTTGGGGTTTTTTTGGCTTTTCGGCAGAAAACTCAGCCCTCCCTCATCCACTAAACTCCCCATGCGTGGCCCTTCTGTCTCGGCATGATGTCTTATACTGGTTTATCAACACCTTAGACAGAATATATATCTATACACACACACGCACACACTCTTATAAGTGTGTTATAAGGTGCAGTACCTATACGACTCGAATTCTTCGATGAGCTTGTATGCATTTGTACACGAAGAGACTGCACAACTGTCACGCCACCACTGGAGGTGCCCTCTGCTAAGACTGGATGGCAGCTGGCATGACCTCTACCAGGTCGTGAAGTGGTCAGTTGATTTCAGTCATCGAAATCTCAGCATTTTTGTGAGATTAACCGCCGGTATCTTATGTTCACACGCCGTAGCTGCGCCAAGCTCTGGGCTAATGTGGAGCTTCTTTAATAGACCTCATGATTCTCTTCGATATTGAGCCTGTATGGAGCGGGAGGACATTTTTAAACCAAATCAGGTGCTATATTTAAATAAAGCTACTCAAAATGATTTGGGACCTTTGAGAATATGCCCCCTCCCTTCTCTGTAGGACACGGGCCGTTCAAATGCTCTCGGTCGCCATTTGAGTGCTCATTCAGTGGTGCCTCTCACTGACTTTTCAAGAACTGACTTTTTTAGTTCTTGCCATTTTCTGGGCTTATTTGAGGGCTCCTTTTGCCTCTCTTTGTCCCATGAAAGTCACACAGAGATGGAAATCCAGGCGCCCCTACACCTCCGATCCATGCTGATTTGTGTTTTACAGGTGTTGGGAGGGAGACAGTATTACCATACTCCCAGACCCAGCGCACACATACACACACAAACGTACTAAAACACACACCTCAAAACTCGAATGCCTCATTTTACTGTATGCACTGCAGTGCTGTAGTTCTGGACTCCCATGCAGGGCTTTGAGAGTTCAGTCCAGCCCATAAGTGTTCCGCTCAGATGCTACTGTTGCCCGGTCTGTGCGAACACACGCGCACACTCCTGATGGCCCATGGCGGACTGGCTGTTGTCGATGTTTTTTTCCTTGTGTTGTTTTAATTTTACCTCAAATGTGGGCACACCTTCGGCTGGCTGTGGCTCCATGACTGCCTCTGTGCTGACAGGTTTCTACCTCACCTCTGGACACAGGGCAGCTACCCTCAGCCACACACACATTTACACACACCTACACACACTCGTACTCTCACACACTGACAGCCAGGAAATAAACAGTTTCTTCTCAGTTATGTTGAAATACCACTGTAGACAGGAGGGCCTGCCATTCCTCATCGTAGCCTCGTTAAAAAAATAATCTGGATGGGCTTTTTTTGTTTTCTTGTTTTTCTTTTCATGTGGGACCAAGTGTCACTTTGATTTCCGTCACAACGGAAGCTAGTTTTCAGCAGTCGGCGAACTAAACCGCACACACCGATGACTACGAAGAGGAGCCATAGAGAGAACTACAGATGAAGGACCCGAGGTGGCCAGGCTTCAACCAAATGGAGCGAGGGGTCGGCTGGTTTCTTTAGCGTGGGGCAGGGGATGCGGCGAAGCTAGCAGTTGAATGAGAGCACTTAGCTTTGAAAGAGCCAAATCTTCAGAGACGATTCAAACCCTGGCACCTTTTACGTTTTTGCACTAAGGCATGATGGGTCCAGCCCTCCCGCTCCTCCAGCTCAGTTGCATGTTTTCCGTGGACACGCCCTCAACCTCTCTGTCAAACAGAGGCCACACCTCCATGTGCTCCTGAGCACACCCTCAGAGTCAGTATTAAGTCTAGCAATGTCCCGGTCTCGTTCTTTCTCAGTAACGATTGACGGAGCACTTACACATTCACGAACAGACCGTTGTCCAGAAGTGGCATGAGACGAGCACCCGACAGAAACGGGCCTTTCCTTTGTGAGACAAAGGAGTGGCCGAAGTCATGCAAAGAATGGCAGCACCGAATGAATGTGAACGGGGAGCAGCAGAAAGAAAGAGCCAGAATGAGGAGTCGCTCTTTAAGGAGGTTGCGAAGGAAGGCAGCCAATCAGAACGAGAGGAACTGTCAGCATTCCGTAAAGGGCCGGAATGGAATTCTTGGAATACGAGTGATGCCGCTGCGGTTCCGATTGGTTGGTTGAGTGAGCACAGGGCTTTGATGCTGCTTTACCTTCCAATTTTATTTGAGAAAGGTAGAAAAAAAAGATATATAAGAAAATAATTACAAACCCAGAAAACAAATAAAAAGATGACTCCAGAACAAAGAGTTCAAATCTCGGAGCTTGAGCTGTTCGTTTCTTTCTTTTTTTGTTTTTGAACTGAAATGTGTGTGTTCGTTTTCGATTCTTAACTGCTTTACGTAAGAGAGAAAAACAACAGCCGTAGTCACTTTTTGACCATGCGTGCAGTGTAAACTAGAGAATTTCACCTCTTTTTTCACCTCACTATAATTTGTAATGATAAGTCGACTGCTCTGTTTGTCTGTGTTTCTGTCCTTCGTCTTTTTATCAAGAGGATTTTACAACAAGAAACAGGAATATTTTCTTTTTATATTTTGTTTTTTTTTTTTTATGAAAGAAGACTTAGGGGAAAAAAAAAACATGAGAAATGCAACAGAAACTGAAAAAAAAAAAAACTGAAACACAATCTACTCATACCTCACACAACACAAAGCTTAAATGGACTTGGGAGGAGAGCTTATCTGCGTGGCACTTGTGTCAAAGTGCGTCCAGTGCACGTGTTGAACTGTACGATGGGGTGTATGTGCGCTTGAGCGTTCATGTGATCGCGGAAGCACACGGCCCCCTCCTTCGGCCTCGAAAGCCCATCTGTTTCAGATTTGCACCAGTTGCATGCATTGGCGTCACCTGCACTGATGCGACGGGCCGGAATGGGAGTGTATGGGATGGGATGCGGTGTGGCTGAAAGGCTGGAAAGGGAGGCGTGTGCATCTGTGACAACAGAGAGTGCTTCATGGTATTGAATGTAGCTGACAGAACTGGGCTGGAACCGAGCCCGGGAACTAGAACCTCACTTCAGGTCACCAGCAAGAGTGGACAGTGCTGTCAAAATGATGTTACACATACAGCTTACTGAGCGTATATTGCCCGCCCTTCAAGGTGCAATACTTGTGTTTTGTTTTGTTTCATTTTTCTTTTTTGTACTTTTACAAGTTTTTTGGCCATAACCAAGGATGTAAATACAAAACAAAAAGATATTGAAAGATTAAATCACTATGTGTTAACCATATGCAACCGCCACATACTGGATGTCGAGGCCAGAACACCGGCTGATCCAACCGTTTTTGTAAAAGGAAACTGCTTGCATAGCTTTGTAAATGCTTCACACATCTGTATGTGTGCTTTTGTGCACTCGCAAATGTGCATGTTCAATACAAATATGAAGAAGAAGTGCCCCGTAAAATTAACAATCTAACCCTGTGCCTCCGCAACCCTCTGCCCCGCACTCAAACCGCTCTTTCTGACAGGGTAGCTAGACGTATGTTCTCTAGGTCAGATTTCTGGTAGAGACGTAGACGGGTGTGGCCTGGTACCCAGAAGCACTTAACTGACCGCGCCACTGCCAATCAGATCCCTCAGAGGAGAATGGTAGATACTGGTTTTGTTTCACTTTGATGGTGGTGTAGTTTTATTTTCGCCCATTTTTTTTAACCAAATTTTGTGTTGTCTTCAGAGAAAGATGAAAAACGTCCAGAAGTAAGAATGTCTATGCAATGCTTAACCCTCTGATGGCATGATGGCTGTGTCAGTGAACCCTGATTAGAGAACATGTCTCTTTCTAAACACTCCCACCCACCCCAACAGCATGAGCCTCATTCGGTTTGTCTAGGAAGACCATAACTGCTGCCTGAGACCTGCTTTGTCAAACCTCACCAACATATGAGGGCGCTAGTTCAACTTTCCGCTGATCTCCGATGATGTCATCCACTGTCGAGAGACTGCATTTGTGTTTCTATGTATGTGTTTGCGTCAAATGCTCTCATGGTTCGGTGGATTGGTACTACCTGTTAGAAAGCAAAACGCCATTTCATACGTTCAAAATGAAAATTGTCTTTATATTCACACTTTAGCGGACTGTCTTAAAGCTGAAGTGTAATTTTTTGGTTAAAATACTTGGTCTTAATTTATATCATTTACTTAACACAGAAATACCTTAGTATGCCATTTGTCGGCTGATTTCACCGAAAAGAATAAACACTGGCTGTGTTCCAATTCAAAGGCTGCATTCTTCGAAGGTCGCTGAGCGTTGTTTAATTGAACAGTCTAGCCTACTGAGGACTGTTCTTGTCGCCTAGCAACTGTGACAGATGCCGTTGACGAGCGGCAGTAATGTTACTGGACTTTTTGAAAAGTTTTATTCAACTGCCTAAAAACAAAATAGGGTTCAAAACCTGTCTAAATATGTTCACCTTGGTCCATTTATGTACATAATAAAGAGTATAAACTATATAAAAACATCTTATATCTAAGATATGTCAACATTTGAACCTCTATATATATTATTTTTTACATTTGTATCATTAGATGCATCCGATTAGTTGAGTAATTAGAACCCAATACTTACGTTTTAAAGTGTAATCACGCAATTTCTCTTTTAAAAATCCTGTCTCCAGCGCGCAATGAATTCTGGGGTACGAGGCCGCGAATGATCCATCTGTGGTATTCCTCATTGCCTGCGAAACAAAGGATGCGTTTCGAGGCTGCATTCGAAGGACCTTTGCAATTGGGACAGCCTTCGTCGCACCGCGGTTACGCAATCGGCCTTCGAATGCGGCCTTCGAAGGATGTAGCCTTTGAATTGGGACACATCCACTGTCTCTGAGGGTCTATCAAAACATTTCACCTGCCTGGCAACAGCTCAACCAATGGTGTGAGTTTGAGGCGGAGCTATACGTTTTACAAAGCCAATAGCAGAAGAGGGGAGTGTTTTGGAAACCTGCAGTTCCTTTTAAAAAAACTAGTAGTGGCGCAGAAATCACACACTTCAGCTTTAACGTACTGAACTGTAAACAGTATGCGAACGAACCCCTTCAAAAGCGCACTATATTTGAATATTTGAGTTTGATTGGCCGCCTCAGCACTGTGATGTCAAAGCCCTCAGTTTTGCTGTGTTTCTTTTGAAGTTGAATATCTTGATTTGATTAGATTGTGACCATGTATTTGTTCAAGTGCTTATTTCCAAAATGCACCCAGCCATGAGAGTGTGAGCAGAGAGCGGGGATGATGTCCACACCACAGCTGTTTTAAATGAGACTGGAAAGGAAAGCTATTGAAGGATTCTCTCAGGTATCAATGAAATAAAAAAGACACACAAAAAAAAAGGAATATAACAAACTTTTTTTTTTTTTAAATAAATGTTGAAAAATTCCAGCCATGCCTTTTTTCTTTGCTCATCATTCTTTGCTCTCTGAGTTGAAGGTGTGCTTTCAGTGTTCTTGTCTTGTGGTCTTCTCTTTATTGTTCATCTCTGCCACATACACACACATTTCTCCTCCACTCTATCTTGGGGCTGCTTCAAAGGGGCTCTTGAAAGGTGGTCATGAAAACCTGGTGAGAATACATGTCTGCTTATCTAAAAAAAAAATCTTCATATTTCTGCAAACCTTTTGATACACAAGCATGCAGTGGAACCAGACCCAGTCAACCATGTCTGATTTAAAGGTGCACTGAGTCATTTTTATTATTATTTCTGTAGTGTTAATGTCGTTTTGGATTCACACTGACACCTACACTGTAAAAACATAAAAGTTTCTGCCTTAAATTTTTAAGTACAATCAACTTGGATGTTTAAATCATTTCAACTTCAATTACATTAAACTGACTTTAAAAATGAGTTGAATCTTGTATACCATAAAAAAGTTGAAAAATTAGTTAAAGCAATGTAAAAACATTTTCATAACTCATTGATCATATCTTTTTTTACAGTGTAGTGACGTGGATGAAATCATGCTAGTATTTAAGAATGATAAAGGTGGGTTAGCATTTACTGTAGCTGGTCATGTGATCTCAATATGGCAGACTGTGAGGCGACTCACTTTCAATATTTTTTTTTAAAGTGTTTTATAATTATACAAGTGCACCTTTAAAGTATGTAAGCAAATTGCAGGTACACAATACATTAATGGAGTGAAACATCACAGCACTTTCGGGAGAAAAAAAGTCTCATCCCATGCATGAAAGACAACATGGAAAATAATTGTTTAATGACATAATAACCATCATTTTTTGCTCCTGACACTGCAATGTTGGATTGAATTTATGCATTGTGTGTTTTCTGTGTGCATGCTTTTGTGATGTGAATATGTGTCTG